ATACATACATACATGTAAGTATGAAAGCCTACAATGAAAGTAAACTTTACCAAACGCCTGTAAACCACACTTAAATGTCTTACGTCTGGTAGTTTTACATTCGAAGTTGTGTGTAATAATCTTGTTTATTTGTTTGCTATTTTTTATATTTTGTTTTTACTGAACGACTGACTTATTGACTGACTTAAAAAAGAGGAAGAAGATGTTGGCCAAAAACGTTTTGTGAAAAGCGTTGTTGTTTATAAATATGTAGTTGGCGCCACAGCGTTTATGCTAATGTTAGTACAGTTTTAAATTATTGTTCCTATCGGCCCATAAGTGAACATATCAACCATAGTCGAGTTCTTTTCAAAACTTAGCCTCTATTGGTAAAAATTTTACTATAGCAGTGCTTACCTTAAATGGTACATTGAACATGCATATTATAAGGATGCCAATCACCAAAAGCTATTCCAGTACTCTTGCCGGCCGGTGTTGTAAGTGTTTAAAACATACGTCTTACACCCATAATAGAACTTCAACCTCTCGAGTCATGGTCCTAACATTTACGAAGTATCCAATTCCGGATCAGCATCACAGAGTAAAACACTCGTTTGTTCTTGGCAAAGGCACGTTATAAATGTGGTGAGACGGCTGGAGTATAAGGCAACTATATGCAACCGCGTGATTCGAACTCCGAAACCACGTCATGAGTATTAACATTAGTGGGAATACCAGCTCCCCATATGCAGCTTCCACCGACGCCAGTTGCAGTTACACCTGTATGACACACAAACACTGGAATTTTTATGGGCAATTATAACACAAAGTTACCCTGCGATTATAAGCTGCCCTAGGGCACAAAGTATACAGAGGTGTCACTTTTGACATTTAAAAAAGTCCTAAATCAGCTTTTGTTTGATTTTGAAATTGTTTGGTGAGAAGAGGTATATAAAATACAGCTAAAAAAAATTATTGAATTCGTTTTGTGCGAAAGAGAGGGAAATAGTTTTTTGCTCGTGACGCCTCTGTATACCCTGTCACAGGGTATTCTCACCAAACAATTTCAAAATCAAACAAAAGCTGATTTTAGACTTTTTTAAATGTCAAAAGTGACACCTCTGTATACTTTGTGACCCTGTGCCTAGGGCCTAGGCTAGGCACTGCTGCATTTCGTGCAGCACATTTGGACAAAAAACCGAATTTTATCAAATCTCTTTGGGAGAATTGCGGAGCATCAAATTAACGGCGCCGAAAATTTTAAGCCGTCCAACGATGTTTTTTTAAATTATGTCGGCGGCTTGACTTAGTCTCTACTATGTTGCAGAAATTGATTTAACAGTTTAATTAAAAAAGCTTTCAGATAAAGCTTTTGCTGTTTGGTTATTTTATTAACATGCAGCTGTTAATTAAGATCCAAAGTTATCAAGTTGATAGCAGTAATGTTAGTAATAATGGACACTAAAAGCTTTGTAATGTAAAAATAAACGTAAAGCTCTGTTGCTGTGATAACGATTTAAAATTACAGTAGAACATGTATAATTCGACCTTTTAATAATTCGGGTAATTTCAAGGAGATATGGTTTCCGATTATCTAGAATATTAAAACGCTACCAGTTGATACATTTAAAGATGTATTTTGCTTTAAAAATAATTTTTTTTTTAATTTGTTGCCGTGTTTTCTTACGAAACAGAAATAAAAAAATTTTGAATCAATCTTTAACTCAATTCCATTTGTAATTTACCTTACAAATGGAATTAAATTAATTTAAACATTTGAAAAATAAAAATATATTTCATATTTGTTAATTTCCTAACACGATTTCTAGCATATGTTTCGTATACAAAAACTAATGCTGGCTGAATATCGCGACATCTATGAACCGGTTATAGTAGAAAATCCTTTTACTCAAGTCACCGAATACGGCGAAGGTCTTAGACAATATCATATAGGATTTAAAATTATTTTTTAATAGAAATAAACATATTTGCATTTAAAAAATATTAGGCTTAACCCGCTCTAAAATAATCTTTGGCTGTGATGACTTCGATGGCACCGATCTGGAAGATTTCGATTACAAAGGTCTAGATCCCGAAATAGAAACTTTCCAATTAGTAAGCCTCATGCCTTTGCAATTTGTTAAATTAAATTTCTTTCGCAAAAAGAATAGAAATATTATGCGCATTTCTATTTGTGTGAAGAGGAGAAACCTATGCTATTTGAATTTGGCGGTCATCTATATAAAAGTGTAAGTTGGCGAAATATTTTTAAAATTAAAAATCTAATTTGTTTTTTTTAGCTCTTCTGGAAAACTTGGCGTGAACGTGTTGCCACTATACGTCTCTTACATCCCAATCTTTTTCACATCTCCTGTTCTTCACCCTTTTCGAGTACTGATGTCCTGGGCGAAGAGGAACTTTGTTATGCTCAGGTGCATGTAGACTCGAATTATTCACAATCTTCGTGGAGGAATTATTCGACCAGTTGTAGTTTGTTGAGTCAATAGTTTATGGGATAAATGTAGAAATTAAATTTAATAAATGTATGTAGATAGTATAGTAACATTTACCATAATTATTTATTATATCGAAGAAGAAACCACAGATAACTATAGGATGTTGATATAAAAATCGATGAAAGATTTTTCTATAATATCGATTAGACGTTTATTAAAAAGTGTAACCGATAGAATTTCGCATATATGTATATTTATTGTCCACACGTTCGTTGGATGGTTGGTTGGTTGGTTAGTTAGTTAGTTAGTTAGTAGTTAGTTAGTTAGTTAGTTAGTTAGTTAGTAGTTAGTTAGTTAGTTAGTTAGTTAGTTAGTAGTTAGTTAGTTAGTTAGTTAGTTAGTTAGTTAGTTAGTTAGTTAGTTAGTTAGTTAGTAGTTAGTTAGTTAGTTAGTTAGTTAGTTAGTTAGTAGTTAGTTAGTAGTTAGTTAGTAGTAGTTAGTAGTTAGTTAGTTAGTTAGTTAGTTAGTTAGTTAGTTAGTTAGTTAGTAGTTAGTTAGTTAGTTAGTTAGTTAGTTAGTTAGTTAGTTAGTTAGTTAGTAGTTAGTTAGTAGTTAGTAGTTAGTTAGTTAGTTAGTTAGTTAGTAGTTAGTTAGTTAGTTAGTTAGTTAGTTAGTTAGTAGTTAGTTAGTTAGTTAGTTAGTTAGTTAGTTCGTTAGTTAGTTAGTTAGTTAGTTAGTTAGTTAGTAGTTAGTTAGTTAGTTAGTTAGTTAGTTAGTTAGTTAGTTAGTTAGTTAGTTAGTAGTTAGTTAGTTATAGTTAGTTAGTTAGTTAGTTAGTAGTTAGTTAGTTAGTTAGTTAGTTAGTTAGTTAGTTAGTTAGTTACTTACTTACTTACTTAGTTAGTTAGTTAGTAGTTAGTTAGTAGTTAGTTAGTTAGTTAGTTTAGGTAGTTAGTTAGTTAGTTAGTAGTTAGTTAGTAGTTAGTTAGTTAGTTAGTAGTAGTTAGTTAGTTAGTTAGTAGTTAGTTAGTTAGTTAGTTAGTTAGTTAGTTAGTTAGTTAGTAGTAGTTAGTTAGTTAGTTAGTTAGTAGTTAGTTAGTTAGTTAGTAGTTAGTTAGTTAGTAGTTAGTTAGTTAGTTAGTTAGTTAGTAGTTAGTTAGTTAGTTGTAGTTAGTTAGTTAGTTAGTTAGTAGTTAGTAGTTAGTTAGTTAGTTAGTTAGTTAGTTAGTTAGTTAGTTAGTTAGTAGTAGTTAGTTAGTTAGTAGTTAGTTAGTTAGTTAGTTAGTTAGTTAGTTAGTTAGTTAGTAGTTAGTTAGTAGTTAGTTAGTTAGTGTAGTTAGTTAGTTAGTTAGTTAGTTAGTAGTTAGTTAGTTAGTTAGTTAGTTAGTTAGTTAGTTCGTTAGTTAGTTAGTTAGTTAGTTAGTTAGTAGTAGTTAGTTAGTTAGTTAGTAGTTAGTTAGTAGTTAGTTAGTTAGTTAGTTAGTAGTTAGTTAGTAGTTAGTTAGTTAGTTAGTTAGTTAGTTAGTTAGTTAGTAGTTAGTTAGTTAGTTAGTTAGTTAGTTAGTTAGTTAGTTAGTTAGTTAGTTAGTTAGTTAGTTAGTAGTTAGTTAGTTAGTTAGTAGTTAGTTAGTTAGTTAGTTAGTTAGTTAGTTAGTTAGTTAGTAGTTAGTAGTTAGTTAGTTAGTAAGTTAGTTAGTTAGTTAGTTAGTTAGTTAGTAGTTAGTTAGTAGTTAGTTAGTTAGTTAGTTAGTTAGTAGTTAGTTAGTTAGTTAGTTAGTTAGTTAGTTAGTTAGTTAGTTAGTTTAGTTAGTTAGTAGTTAGTTAGTTAGTTAGTTAGTTAGTTAGTTAGTTAGTTAGTTAGTTAGTAGTTAGTTAGTTAGTTAGTTAGTTAGTTAGTTAGTTAGTTAGTTAGTTAGTTAGTTAGTAGTTAGTTAGTTAGTTAGTTAGTTAGTTAGTTAGTTAGTTAGTTAGTTAGTTAGTTAGTTAGTTAGTTAGTTAGTTAGTTAGTTAGTTAGTTAGTTAGTTAGTAGTTAGTTAGTTAGTAGTTAGTTAGTTAGTTAGTTAGTTAGTAGTTAGTTAGTTAGTTAGTTAGTTAGTTAGTATTAGTTAGTTAGTTAGTTATCATGGTGCTTTGCCTCAGTACTTTTTATCTCGCACTGATTACTCGTTTGTTACTATAAATGTTAAAAGTAGGCGTAAAAAGAGGCGTGTCATCTACTAATGATCTGATCTATAATTACTTAAATTAAACGAAATGTTAATAATTTTCGTTTGCTTTATTATTTTATTTCTTTTTAATTATATACATTTTGAGATTTTATTGCACATAAAACTAAATTATATTCTGCTTATAATTAAAAATTTATAATAAAATGTAATTTTTAACAAAAATTTTCTTAAAGAAGCATATAAAAAACAATGGTAGATATTAAAAGGCCAGGCGAAATAATAATATAACAATTTATAATACATTTAAGCTGAAATTAGCAAAAATATACTTTGTGACAACATTTTTTTAGGCAAATTCGAAATGCTTCCGAAATTTCACTTTTTTTCAAAACATTCTTACTTAAACATTAACCAACTTAATCGATTCTCGGTAGATTTACTACTACTGGTGCCATTACGATTACCATTCTTTAAAATACCAACACCTGTCGTTCCAGAGGCACCATTCACCGCCCGATTATTTGTTTTCGTTAACATTTCCCCCGAATTATTATCATTTATGGATGATTTTTGTAATTTCTTAGACATTTCCTCTACCGAAAAACCATTATTGCCATAATCCACACTTTGGCGTTGTTGTTGTTGCAATTGCTGCTGTTGCTGATGCAAAGGACAATTACGCTGATGTTCGGTATATGAATTGCCATTGGATTTGCGTAGATTTGCACGTGACAGAGTACTTGTAATTCACTTTGTAAGGCCTCATTTGTAGGTGTGGTATCACCTGAATCTCTACCTTTCTTTTGCGTCGTTAGAAAATCGAATTTTTCTGGTTCTCTTCTCATATTGGAAGGTTGGCGGTATTCTCCTATGGTAACAGTACCCAAACGTAAAGTTTGTCTATTTGCTTGAGTGTTGTTGGTGGCAGTGTTGTTGTTGTTGTTGAAACCATTGGTAGAGGCAGATGATGATTTGTTGGGTCTGCTGTAAGTGTCATTGCCATTGTAAGTATTTCCATTTTGAACACCATTTGTTAAACGTTCAGATGTTGTGTTATTGTTGACTTTATAGGTGTTGTTATTGGTCATCTGTAGAGGCTTTAGGGAGGGTTAAGAATTTCTTTAATATTATTAATCATTTTTTACAAATTGTTTTTTCTTACCGGTGGTTTTGGTATATGACTATATGTCTCCTGTTTGTTTGGCTCTCTACTGTCCAATGTATCATTTTGCTGTTGTTGTTTGTTTGTGTTAGAGAGTTTATTTTAGGTCCTTTAGATCGACAGGTACCAGCATCATCCAATATTGTGGTATTTAACAGTGCCTCCTTTCGATCCTGCAATGTAATAAAAATAAGAGAAGTAGTATTTTAGTCAATTAAAAAAAATCTATTTTATTTAAAAATCTATTCTCTTCTCCACTTATAAAATTGTATAAATAATAAGTTTTAAATGTAAATTTAATATTAACCACCAGTTTACTATAAAATAATAAATCTTTAATTGAAGAATCATCATTTCCGTTTAACTGTAGAAATATCTTAGAAATCTTTCACAACAATATCATGTTTATTTATATTTATAAAAATGTTTTCTGATAAACAAAGATAACGGTAAAATTAACTAAACAATTACATTACACTATGACATAAAATAATTGGAACACACACTGTTTTTAATTAAATTAACTTGTTGTTGTATCATTTGTTACCAAATATTTAGTCATTGTAATCATAACAACAATTTTACATTTAATTACATTTTAATTATTTAATTTTCTTGTTTATATTTATAATTTTTGTTTTTGTAATGAATAAAGCGCTTAGACATTGTTTGACATTGCTTTTTGCTTGAAATGTTTCGATTTAGATAAAATATTTTTTATATTTTATTTAATCAATTAATTGAGAAATTTAAGAAATTTCTTGTTTACTCTTCAAATAAACTTTCCATTTCGTGTGACACATGTTTAATAGCTTTAATCTTTTTCGACACTTTTAAGACAAAAGAGGAGAAAAACATGTAAAATACGCAGTTTAAACAGATGTTTACGAAAAAAAATAACACTTTTGTTCAGAAAATAATTTCGCTATACTATTTAATCTGCCATACGAGGGTTTGTTAAAGTGTCTGGTTTAAACGATTTTCTAGAAAAGACCACATATAGGGGTTAGAGAGAATTATAGACCGATATTGATCGAGACAAAGAATGAAACCGGTATAAAATAAGTCCAGTGTATGATTACCGGTTATAAGTTCAAAACTTATATAATAGAGACTTGTCAATTTATAATGAAAACTATCAAGTAGGTGGTTGCTTAATATTTAGACCAATTTCTTCCGCTTACAGTAAGTGTCTTGAATCTTAGAAGAAACTATTGGCATCACTAAATAAAATTGCATTTTATTGCTAAAACTCCTACATGCGAAGTAGTTAAGTCCCCATATATTAATGGCAGGGCCCTCGTTTAATGAAATTCATATATTATTCCTACACATAAAACCCTCGCACACACACCTGATCTTTCTCAGATGTGCACACATAAATAAGAGGTGGACTAGGTACACGACTCTCTAACGAATATGCATGTTGCTTATTTATGATTAACACACAAATATGTTGTTAGATGTTGTTGTTGCATTTAATAATTTGTGTAGCAAGTCTATTTGTTGTTATTGTTGTCTACATACCTCATAAGTACTCAAAGTTACCAAACACTTTCCACCACGAGCCGGTTTCATTGTTGCGTGTAACGCTGATGATGTGCTTCATTGTCAAAATAATTTTGCATTTTTTTGCCGTGTTTTTACTGCAACTTCTTGTAAATTTTTGCGTTTTTTCAAGAAATTTCTTTTTTTTATTGTTGTTAGTTTTTCCTTATGGAAGATGTTTTAAATAATAAAGATTATATTCACAGAAATTGTTAATAAATTATTAGCCGCTGTTTGTAACTGATTTGTTTTTTTGCACGTTGCTATTCCACCGCACCATTCAACGTTTTAAAATAAAATAAAAATTTATATTTTTCTTAACGCACTCACTCTATTGTTGGGCTGTTTGACTATTGACTGTTTGATCGTTGGTTGAGTTGGTTGTGGTGGTTTGGTTTGGTGGCTGATAGCTAGTTGAATGGCTATTGCCACTTTATGGTGGCAATTTGCAAGAGTGTGTGGGGAGATTGGTTGGTTGTTTAGTTGATGGTATGAGTAAATATTAAAAAACAAAAGTACTAAATTAGTTAGTTGTTTGGTATTGTGTTATTTTTCCATTATTATTTATTTTTTTTTTTTTTCATAAAAATATCTATTGACAATTTTGCACAATATATATAGACAATCTAAACAAAATGAGACAACAACAGTAATCAGTGAAAACAGATACAAAAAAAAAAACAACAACATCAAAGATAAGATAAAATATTTCTGATGCAGATGTTAGTACACTGCTACGAGTACTAGTACTCGTAAGAACCTAAAAATATTATTATTTTTTTTTAATTTCGTTTATGAATCATCATCTTTTTTGAAACCTCTATATGTTTGTTTTAAAACAATAACAATGGTTAAGACCCTTTATATTATAAATATAATATTTGGCTCTTTCGTTCGTTTTGTTCCGTTGGAGGGTCTCTCATACTCTCTGACATCTCTTAGTTTTTTTTTTTTTTTTTTTTTGTGAAATCAATATGTAATAATCGATTAGCAGCGATAGTAAAATCTACAACAAAAGCAACAATAATGTGATCATAAAGCCAGATCTTTAAAGCGTAGCTTATAGATTAGTAGACTTTTAAAATTTATAACAAAAATTGTTAAAACTTGCGAGTATTAAGGTCGTATAAAGAATTTCCCAATCGACACCATTTTTATAGAAGATTATAAAGAAACTATATTTGGTCAAGTTTGACCCTATAAATATATTATAGTATAGACTAGAGTCTGGTCTATATTAAGGTCTATAGACTAGAATGTAGTCCGGTCTATGTTTTGGACAATAGTCAAGATTAAAGTTTGGACTAAAGTCTTGGCAATTGTCAGTCCTATAGTCTGGCCTAACGCCTAGACTACAATTTGGTTCATAGTCTAGACTATAGTGTGGCTTATATTCCAGCCTATAGGATAGACTGTAGTCTATCCTATAGGCCGTGGTCTATAGTCTAAACTTAAGGGAAGATTATAGTCTAGTCTATAGTCTAGACTATAGTTTCGCTTAAAGTTAAGATTATAGACAAGACTACAGACCAGTCTTGTATAAAGTCTGATCTAAAGTCGGGACTGCAGTCTAAACTAAAGTCTGGTATATAGTCTGGTCTTGACTTCTGTCTTGTGTTTAGTCTAATCTGTAATCTGGTCTATAGTCTGGTGTTTAGTCAGTACTAATGTTTATGGTCTGTGCTCTTGACTATAGCCTGGTCTATAGTCTCGACTATAGTCTGGTCCATAGTCTTGTCTATAACCTGGTCTACAGTCTTAATTATAGTCTTGACTATAGTGTTAATTATAGTCTTGACTATAGGCTGGTCTATAGTCTTGACTATAGTTAAGACTATAGTCTGGTCTATAGCCTAGCCTTCACTAAAATCTCGTCTATAGTTTGGCTATAGTATCGTCTATAGTCTCGACTATAGTCGGGTCTATAGCCGCTACTATAGTCTATAGTCTCGACTATAGTCTATTTACTATAGCCATGACTACAGCCTACATTCTACATTCTCGTCAATAGTCTGGTCTATAGTCTTGACTATAATTTTTACTATAGTCTAGCATATAGCCATGACTACAGCATGGCCTACATTCTCGTCAATAGTCTGTTCTATAGACTTGACCATAGTCTTGATTGTAGTCCGGTCTACAGTCATGTCTATAATCTGGGCTATAGTTTGGTCTACAGCCTATAGGCTAGTGTTTAACCTGGTCTATAAACTGGTATACTGTATTATGCACTCTCGTCTTAACTATAGTCTGGTATATAGCTTGGCCTTGAGTATAACATGGATTAGAGTTTGGCTATAGTCTTGACTATAATCTCGTCTATAGTCTCTTCTATATTTTGGCTATAGACTGGTTCATATAGTCTATATTCTTGACTATAATCTTGTCTATAGTTTGGCTATGGTATGGTCTATAGTCTTGACTATAATCTTTGCTATAGTCTGGCATAGAGCCATGACTATAGTCTGGTCTACAGTCTCGTCAATAGTCTATAGACTTGACTATAGTCTGGTCTATAGTCTTGATTATAGTCCGGTCTATAGTCTTGACTATAATCAGGGCTATAGTTTGATCTATAGTCTATAGGGTAGTATTTAGTCTGGGCTATAATCTGGTCTACTGTATTATGGACTTTATACAATTCCTTTAAAACTCTGTACACAAGCAAAACATCGCAAATAACAAACATCTTAAGTAAATGTATAAAAATAGCAAAAAAAAACAGATTATTGTACAATATAAAGTTATTTATTTAACACCAACATTCGAAGTTTGTTCGAAATTCATGTAGTCGTGCCGTGTAATGGTACTGGGTACAAAATATTTTTCTGGTGCGAGTATCTACTACTATTTATTGCATGTTTTAAAGTTTTAGTATCCATAGTAGTTACTTGCTAAACAGAAAAAATGAAACTTACTACAAAACTACTTACTCTTACTTACAACAAATAGTCAAATAGTATGCGGCACAGTTGAAAAGTTGAAACTTTGCAATGGTATGGAATGGTGTGGTGTGGTATGGTGTGTCGTGTTATGTGTTGGCTTTTAAGGTCGTTGGTAAAACCAATAAATAAAATTCATAAATTAATAAACTCACAGAGATGAATGCACTACGAAAGACATACAGTATGATTGTTTAAATAATGTTTATAGCCGCGGATACAGGTGTGATGTGAAAATTATCTTTATATGAGTTGGAAAAATGAAACCAAAGCGAATGTTATTAAATTCTTTAAGCATTTTTGTGGTGACTTTAATAAAACCGAGCTTAGGGGAAAAATAAATAGTTGAGAGAATTTGTTGCTAAAAAAAACACAAAAAGACCTTGACTTCAAACCCAGATTGAATGTCAAAAACAATGTTAGATAATGGAAATTATATTTTTGAGAAAATGTTTACAAATGTATGTAAATTGAAAGTTATACTCAGTCAGACATGTGGGTCTATAAAAGAAGAGAATAAGTTAAAGCTTTTAATTTCAGTTTTAGCTAATATTTTCCCACGTAAGCAGATACTTGTTTAAGTATCGGTTGTTTAATAATTGAGTTATTATAAATTTCCTCGATTAATATGTGTATCCGGAAAATTATCGGAAAAAGGATTTATGGTTTATTTTTCATAAGAAAGTTATAGAAATATTAACAAGTTTATTCTGATAATTTTGAATTTATTTGAAAAATTTAGAAAAAATAATTGGGTTTTGAACTTTCTTAATGTTGCCCTTGGGTCCTCATTCTCAGTCTTATCTCATTCTTAAACAACACCTAAAATTTAAGGTTTATATTTTAAGATCTTGTAAATAATAAAATCAGTAAAGAATATGGAATAAGATCTGATAATGAATTAATCTATGGTTTGGACTATAATCTAGACTATCTGGATTATAGTTTAGACTATGAATTGATCTATAGTTTGGCCTATAGATTGGACTGTGAATTGAACTATAGTTTGGACTATCTAGACTATGCATTGATTGACTATACTATTATAAATCGGGACTACAGTGCTTAGACTACAGTGTAAATCATAGATTGGACTATTTAGACTGTGGATTGATAGACTAAAGTATTAACTATCTAGACTGTAGTGTATATTTTAGTTTAAACTATAGTGTTGACCATAGATTGTGTATAGTTTTGACTTTCTGGACCATGAATTGATCTATATTCTCAGCTAAAGTTTTGACTATAGTAGGAACTATAGTGTGGTCTTTAGTTTAGACTATAGAGTCAACCATAGATTGGACTTTAGTTTGGATTATCTGGATTATGGATTGATCTATAGTCTGAGCAATAATTTGGATTATAGTATGGACTATCAGGACTATGGTGCGTACTTTAGTATAGACAGAAATGTAGACCCTAGTTTGGACTATAGATTAATTTATAGTCTGGACTATAGTATGGTATATCTGGACTATAGAGTTTAGACTGTGGTGTCACCCATAGATTGGACTATAGTTTGGACTATCTGGACTGTGGATTATCTGGACTATAGTGTGGACTTTAGTTTAGACTATAGTTTGGACTAACTGGATTATGAAGAGATCTATAGTTTGGATTATAGCATGGACTACCTGGGCTGTAGTGAGGACTTTAGTTTAAACTTTAATGTAGACCATAGTTTGGACCATGGTCCATAGTATCGACTATAGATTGGACTATAGTTTTGACTTTAGATTAAACTATAGATTTTACTATGTATTAGACTATAGTTTTCACTATCTACAATTGAATCTAAAATACAGTGTATACTATGAACTAAACATCATCTATACTCTGGATTTTTTCTGATTTTATATTAAAATGACTCACATTGGAACTTGTTAACACTTAAAATATCTTAACACTATTCAAGTCAATCAATGAAATCTGATAACCAATTCAAAACAGTAAATAGTGCGTGTTAAATTGATTTGTGTTTGGAAAAAAAAAAACAAGTAGTCAATACCACAATTACAATTGTGGGTTATTGGAAATGTAGCACGTGTTTACCACCAATTAAAATAAAATGTGTTAAATAATTAAATAAGTAATTTACTCAATTAAGTACTTTGACATTATAACTCCTATAAAATTCTTTTAAACGGTTCTATTTTATATTCTTAAACCAAAATTTAAATTACTTTCCTAACTTCCGAAACATTGAAAACATGATTTAAAAACTTACCCGATTTTCCATAGAATCCCCACTGCCGCCACATTCTTTGAAGCCGTTCTTAAACATGCGTTTATGGGCCTGTTTGAATTCATTCATTAAAGCACTGTGTTGATCATCCACAACATTGAGAGTATTATTGTTGTTATTATTACAATTGATGTTGTTGCTGCTGCTGTTGTTATTCACAGCTGCAGTTTTATGATGATCATTGCCATTCAATGTATTTGTGTTTAAATTTGTTGCTGCTGTTGGACTTGTTGGGTGATGATGATGTTGGTTGTGATGTTGTTGTTGTTGTTGATGATTATTATTGTTCTCACGTTTCATTTCGTATTGTAGTGGTTTCATTTCATTATGTGGAGCATGTTCTTTAAAGGCGGGAGGTTGACGTCTCTATAAACAAGACAAACACAAAACAAATAAATTCATTTTGAAAACACACCATTTTGTTTATAATATAAACTTTAATAAACAACAAAGTTATTTGATATTCTTTTATTATACAATTTGTCCTAATTCTGATTTCAAGCAGGGTTGTTAAATTTTTTAAAAATAAGCTTAAAATTTTGTGAATTTTTGAATACGAATAATTATTTTTTAAATTCATAGTATGAATTTTTAAATTTAAGGAAATATTTGGAATATTTTGCCAAAATTTCAAAATCATTTATGTTATATAATCGTTATATTTTTATTGATTTGCAAATCTAGTGTACAAATTGAATAAGTAATTTTATCCATTGAAATTTTAATATTCTTCAAGGATATTGAAATATATAATAAAACGTGTTAAATTTTACTAAATATATCAGTATAGTGGGGATGGTATAATGGGCTTGTGCTGATGCTTGTAACGGTACAAAATATTGGTTCTAGATCCACCTTAAAGTACACTAATTGACTCAGAATCATTTTATGAACTATCTAAGAAGGCGGTTTGCAAGCTTACTATTAGGTGTACTAGTTCATAGAACTCCCGAGAACCAGTGCATTAGTTGATCGTCATCATTTTACGATCATCAAATCAGATACTCTAATTTAAAATACTTTCTGTTAGCCAGATTTTCCTATTGGCTTAAGTCTTTATTGATTTGGAAGAAAAGTGCCTGGTTTAAGGAGACACTATTAAGCTATTATGCCGAGCTTTCATTCAATTAGAAGATTTCAAACGTAGAAAATTCAGTACTTCAGTAATTTTGGGTAGATTCTCAAACTTATAAACTTTTTAAAAATAGTCCACAAACTAATCAATGAACTATAGTTTAGACTATACTATTCTATAAACTAGTCTATAGATCCACCTTAAAGTACACTAATTGACTCAGAATCATTTTATGAACTATCTAAGAAGGCGGTTTGCAAGCTTACTATTCGGTGTACTAGTTCATAGAACTCCCGAGAAAAAGTGCATTACTTGATCGTCATCATTTTACGATCTTCAAATCAGATACTCTGGTCATCAACACCAAACAGTTAGATTATCAGAAAGACAAAGTCGACAGTGATATCCAAAATTTGAGGATCAGTTTAAGCCACTAAAGATCCAACAGCCTGATCTAGTAATAATAAGAAAGGAGAACTTGAAGTGTAGATCTGATGATCAATCTGTTCAGTTTGATGATGTGTCCAGACAAATTTGTCTCTCATATTCTCAACTGAGAGATCAGATCCTGTATGCCGATCTATAAAAGTTATATATTGCTTCGAAAGTGTCGAATGTAAAATGGATACATTACAATAACCCAAAGCTAAAGAAATCGAATCAGATAAATCAACAATATGTGTTGCACCAACGTATTTGCCCTGTATTTCAGAGAACAAGTCCCAACAACGATGAGCTGCCGGTCCGGCGATCATAGGGGACAAGGCTCGATTATATGTCAGCTCACCCGCCTTCATTTCAGAACAGGTAACTCGAAATTAGGTCTTAAAAATTAATCGGAAACGCAGAATACATAAGTATGTTGCCAGAAAGATGGAAAAAGATCATAACTAAAAATGGTCAAAAAATGCAGGTCTAGGGTTTCTTCCAATATGGTCAAATAGCCACAAGTTTCTAAATGCCCTTATTAGCGTAATTGTAACCATTTCGAATCGTTCAAACAACTTAAAAATACTCGACACTTAACTCTAAGTACTTGCAAAGTAAAAAATATATTTCAAAAAAGTTATACCACTTACCGCTTTTCTCTTCTTAAGTTCCTCTGTAATGGCACTTGAGAGACTGCCTCCATCGTTAAAACCACCAGACGATTTCTCACTTTCCATATTCAAATTCACATTTGAGTATGTTGAGTTATCGCCGGAAGCTGTTGTGGTCGCCGCTGCTTTATTCAATTTAGCCAATTGGAGATTGGCATATTGATAACGTTGCATGGTGGCAGCCACGCCACCAATTTTAATATCGCCCTCCTCATGAGGTGGCAAACACTTGTTGAAAGTATTGCTAGAAGATGACGTTGATGTTGCAGAATTTGAGTTCAAATCAAAATTGTATGAATGATTTTGTGGCTGATGCTGATGTTGGGTGTGATTTAACATGGCCATGGGTGGTGGAGGTGGTAATATATTGGGTGTTTTCGGTGTTTGATTAAATTTCGTTAGGGTGCCTTCCATGGCAGCTGGTTCCTCTCGGTTGTCTTTTTGTACAGGGCTCAAAGTTTTTCTTATGGTGCCTGTGCTCGAAGAAGGCGTGGCATTTTCCACAAATGTATTGTTTATGGAAGTAGCACCATTTTCGGATAATTTAATAATAGTTTTATTAATTTCCTTTTTAACATTTGTCTGTGTTGTAGAGTTCGTTGCGGTGCCGGTGTTGGAATTTTGTCTTACGGGTAAATTTGTTGCGGCCGTTAAGTTGGAATTTGCACTTCTTTCGGTTATGGATTTTGAACGACATCTACGCTGCTCATTGGCATATAAAGGTTGATTCCAATTTGCTCCATTTGAACTTTCCTCTCTGACGGCAGTTAATCTCTTTGATTTCACATCAGCCCAGCAGGGACTTTGATCTCCGGTTACTGAACTAGCTGAACTATTATAACCACTTGATTCTCCGGGAAATAGATCACAACCGGCCCCAGTATGCACTGTCATATCTAATTTATTTGAACTTTTCATAACTGCCACCGCCTCACTGAATAGTACATCTGAAAAATCTATACTATTTACCGTCAGAATTTGATCACCTGGTCTTAAGCCTGCCTCTCGTGCCACACTTTTCTCTTTTGTAAATTGTACAAATATTCCCGGTTTCCATTCGGGTCCCTTACAAATGCCCAAACCCAATTTGGTGCGTGGTGCTACATTAAGCACCACATTTATAACACGTTCACCTTGATTACGGCTGTGAGTACGTTCCGTACGCTCCGAGGATTGATAAGAACATTCGGAGGTGGTGGAACTAATACTGGGTGTCTTGACCACATTCCAGGTAAGACCATCATTTTCTTTGCTAAATTTTTCGAATAAATGTTAGATTAAATATAATCTCTTACCAATAACAATAATAATAACTCACTCTTTTACCGGCAACATGCCAACACTGCGTACTTTCAGTGTTAAACGTTCTTGATGGCTAACAAGTTGCACAAATTCTTTGTGTATGGCATCATCTATTCTGAATCCATTAATACGCAATATTTGATCACCAATCTGTATAAAAACATAAATGAAAAATAAATAACACTTAAAAATATTGTTTGTTCGTTTGTTTGCTTAAAATGTTTTGGTCTAAACAGTCGTCATTTGGGTCACATTTGAAGTTTGTATGTTGATCATTTTAAGAGTGAGTGGTGAGGTGAGAGGCTTTATATGTTAGTGTTTAAATTGTGCGTCACGTTTGTATATATTATGTTTGTTGCTGTCTAGAATTCTTTACATGACGCACTTTCTGTAAATGGTACGTGCAAGACCTTCCCTGTAAAAGTTTGAATTTTAACTTAAATATCGGACATCTGGCTAGTGAAAGTAAAATGTGTAAATATTATTGCAGTGTCTCATTGTTTGGCTGTTCTAATTTAAAATACTTTCTGTTAATCAGATTTCCCTATTGGCTTGAGTCTTTATTGATTTGGAAGAAAAGTGCCTGGTTTAAGGTGACACTATTAAGCTATTATGCCGAGCTTTCATTCAATTAGAAGATTTCAAACGTAGAAAATTCAGTACTTCAGTAATTTTGGTTAGATTCTCTAACTTATAAACTTTTTAAAAATATTCCACAAACTAATCAAAGGACTATAGTATAGACTAGACTATTCTATAGTCTAGTATATAGTCTAGTCTATAGTATAATCTATAGTCTAATCTATAGTCTAATCTATAGTCTAATCTATAGTCTAATCTATAGTCTAGTCTATAGTCTAGTCTATAGTCTAGTCTATAGTCTAGTCCATAGTCTAGTCTATAGTCTAGTCTATAGTCTAGTCTATAGTCTGGTCTATAGTCTAGTCTATAGTCTAGTCTAGTCCATAGTCTAGTCTATAGTCTAGTCTAGTCTATAGTCTAGTCTATAGTCTAGTCTATAGACTAGTCTAGTCTATAGTCTAGTCTATAGTCTAGTCTATAGTTTAGTCTATAGTTTAGTCTATAGTCTAGTCTATAGTCTAGTCTATAGTCTAGTCTATAGTCTAGTCTATAGTCTAGTCTATAGTCTAGTCTATAGTCTAGTCTATAGTCTAGTCTATAGTCTAGTCTATAGTCTAGTCTATAGTCTAGTCTATAGTCTAGTCTATAGTCTAGTCTATAGTCTAGTCTATAGTCTAGTCTATAGTCTAGTCTATAGTCTAGTCTATAGTCTAGTCTATAGTCTAGTCTATAGTCTAGTCTATAGTCTAGTCTATAGTCTAGTCTATAGTCTAGTCTATAGTCTAGTCTATAGTCTAGTCTATAGTCTAGTCTATAGTCTAGTCTATAGTCTAGTCTATAGTCTAGTCTATAGTCTAGTCTATAGTCTAGTCTATAGTCTAGTCTATAGTCTAGTCTATAGTCTAGTCTATAGTCTAGTCTATAGTCTAGTCTATAGTCTAGTCTATAGTCTAGTCTATAGTCTAGTCTATAGTCTATAGTCTAGTCTATAGTCTAGTCTATAGTCTAGTCTATAGTCTAGTCTATAGTCTAGTCTATAGTCTAGTCTATAGTTAGTCTATAGTCTAGTCTATAGTTAGTCTATAGTCCTAGTCTATAGTCTAGTCTATAGTCTAGTCTATAGTCTAGTCTATAGTCTAGTCTATAGTCTAGTCTATAGTCTAGTCTATAGTCTAGTCTATAGTCTAGTCTATAGTCTAGTCTATGTCTAGTCTATAGTCTAGTCTATAGTCTAGTCATAGTCTAGTCTATAGTCTAGTCTATAGTCTAGTCTATAGTCTAGTCTATAGTTCTAGTTCTATAGTCAGTCTATAGTCTAGTCTATAGTCTAGTCTATAGTCTAGTCTATAGTCTAGTCTATAGTCTAGTCTATAGTCTAGTCTATAGTCTAGTCTATAGTCTAGTCTATAGTCTAGTCTATAGTCTAGTCTATAGTCTAGTCTATAGTCTAGTCTATAGTCTAGTCTATAGTCTAGTCTATAGTCTAGTCTATAGTCAGTCTATAGTCTAGTCTAGTCTAGTCTGTCTATAGTCTAGTCTATAGTCTAGTATAGTCTAGTCTATAGTCTAGTCTATAGTCTAGTCTATAGTCTAGTCTATAGTCTAGTCTATAGTCTAGTCTATAGTCTAGTCTATAGTCTAGTCTATAGTCTAGTCTATAGTCTAGTCTATAGTCTAGTCTATAGTCTAGTCTATAGTCTAGTCTATAGTCTAGTCTATAGTCTAGTCTAGTCTAGTCTATAGTCCTAGTCTATAGTCTAGTCTATAGTCTAGTCTATAGTCTAGTCTATAGTCTAGTCTATAGTCTAGTCTATAGTCTAGTCTATAGTCTAGTCTATAGTCTAGTCTATAGTCTAGTCTATAGTCTAGTCTATAGTCTAGTCTATAGTCTAGTCTATAGTCTAGTCTATAGTCTAGTCTATAGTCTAGTCTATAGTCTAGTCTATAGTCTAGTCTATAGTCTAGTCTATAGTCTAGTCTATAGTCTAGTCTATAGTCTAGTCTATAGTCTAGTCTATAGTCTAGTCTATAGTCTAGTCTATAGTCTAGTCTATAGTCTAGTCTATAGTCTAGTCTATAGTCTAGTCTATAGTCTAGTCTATAGTCTAGTCTATAGTCTAGTCTATAGTCTAGTCTATAGTCTAGTCTATAGTCTAGTCTATAGTCTAGTCTATAGTCTAGTCTATAGTCTAGTCTATAGTCTAGTCTATAGTCTAGTCTATAGTCTAGTCTATAGTCTAGTCTATAGTCTAGTCTATAGTCTAGTCTATAGTCTAGTCTCTAGTCTAGTCTATAGTCTAGTCTATAGTCTAGTCTATAGTCTAGTCTATAGTCTAGTCTATAGTCTAGTCTAGTCTATAGTCTAGTCTAGTCTATAGTCTAGTCTAGTCTAGTCTATAGTCTAGTCTAGTCTATAGTCTAGTCTATAGTCTAGTCTATAGTCTAGTCTATAGTCTAGTCTATAGTCTAGTCTATAGTCTAGTCTATAGTCTAGTCTATAGTCTAGTCTATAGTCTAGTCTATAGTCTAGTCTATAGTCTAGTCTATAGTCTAGTCTATAGTCTAGTCTATAGTCTAGTCTATAGTCTAGTCTATAGTCTAGTCTATAGTCTAGTCTATAGTCTAGTCTATAGTCTAGTCTATAGTCTAGTCTATAGTCCTAGTCTATAGTCTAGTCTATAGTCTAGTCTATAGTCTAGTCTATAGTCTAGTCTATAGTCTAGTCTATAGTCTAGTCTATAGTCTAGTCTATAGTCTAGTCTATAGTCTAGTCTATAGTCTAGTCTATAGTCTAGTCTATAGTCTAGTCTATAGTCTAGTCTATAGTCTAGTCTATAGTCTAGTCTATAGTCTAGTCTATATTCTGTAATCGTATTCTTGTTTATAACAAGCAAATTTTACTCACCCTTAAACCCTTCTGTTCCGCTTCGCTATTACGATCAACACTGGATACAAAAAATCCCGTACTAAACTCCTTGCCACCTCTTACAGAGAAACCATAGGAGGGTACAGCGCCCGGTGTTACCAGTATTCGACGACTATGAGGTCTTAACAAACGTATCAAACGGATGCGCGTTGAGGCTGGTATAGCACACCATGAAGATGCCGCAGTGGTAAGAGTCATCATGTCACTAGATGAACTAGTGGTGGAGCCCTGCATACTGCTGCAATCGGTGAATAATGAGGTGGCCATCATATAATTTAGAGAAAATTTGTTATGTTTGTTTTTTCCTTTTTTTATTATTGGAATTACAATGGTAAATCATGAAAGCTGAAGTTTGTAGCTAAGCCATGAACTGCAAAGGAATGAATAAAAAAATTTTATTTAAATAAATTTTATAATTTTTCTTTTTTTTCATATTTTAATAAAATTATTTGGTAATTCCGCGAATTTGTTAAAATTTGAGGTTTTTCTTTTAGAGTTAATGTTGTTTTTATTGTAATATATATTTGATAAAGGTTCGTGTTTTAAGTTTTTTTCCTCTGCTGCCCATATTGAACAGCCGCTTATAACAACTAGTTTGTTTCTTAAGTCTTTCGTCTGTTATCTTTATTTTGTCAAAGTTTATGTCCTAAGTCTTTGGTATTATGTGGTAATACCAAACCAAACAACAAACGCAACCACCAACCAACTATTCAATGTGAATATTGTCTGTGTTATACCACCACTAAAAGATGTATGAATTTATCATACATTTTTCAATCTTCAATTTTTGTTTTTGCAATTTTTTTGTTGCTTCTTTGCGACGACAAGTCCTGACCTTTTACCAGAAAAACAAACAACCAAAAAAAAACTTAAAAGATGAAAGAAATAAAATTTCAAGACAACACCCGGTCGTGGATCTGCAACAAGTAAAAGTGAAAACAAATAAAACTTTCTCTCCTAACTGCCAGTGAGACAAACAACCGATCAGACAGCCAGCCAGCCAGCCATCAGCATCATCGTTACAAACAAGGAACATCTTCACATTTCCTATTCAATACATAAACATGAGCAGCAGTACCATCTCATCCTCATCATCATCATCACCATCTTCATACACTTGGATAAGTGTAGTATCCTCAGCTGTTGTGTCATATTAATGGCAGTAATGTCATTCGTGGCCATACATTTATTTACTTATTACTTCTGTTATTTTCTTTTACAAACGAAAAACATTAAAATCTCTTATGAATGAATGAATGAAGTGAATCGATTTGAATGTGTATTGTTTGGATAAATATAAAAGACTGGCTGACTGGTTGTTGTTATTGATAGTTTTAAAATAATGTACGTTTAATGTAACTCTATCAAAATGTTGAAAAATAAAACAACAACAACGAAGAAATATTTATTAAAAACGCTGCACTACCTAATTCGAACAAGTGTTAAAATTGACTGAAATCGTACATTAAAAATTAAATTAAATAAAAAAGACAATTCATACAACTGCGGCTGCTTACACTGTTAGAAATGGAAATTTCTCTCTAGAGACTGCCACCAGCAATATTGAGGATGCATAAATTTTGTAGTTTTTTAATTAACAAACAAATTGTATGTAGGAATGTAATTAAACTTGTTATTAATGTGTCTTCACACTTAATGTTTATGGTCGAAAATATTTATATTTTTTCAAATTAATACCATAAATTTTCAATTATATGTATCTGATATGTTAAATCTTAAATAATTTGTTTGTAAACGAAGAAATTTGAATTTTGAGAGAGGAAATCATTAAGAAGAAGAAAATTTAATATTTAGCTTCATTAAATCCTTTGTCATGTTTGATATATGCTGAACTGTAAGGAGGAATTTAAAATTTTAAAGTTGTTCCTATTTTCAGAAATATAAGCAAAATCTGTAGATGACATTATTTCATGACTAACTAACTAACTAGGTTAGGTTAGGTTGATAGGAGGATGTATACTACATCAAATCCGAAGAAATACACCTACACAGAGGGAAAAGGCAATATACACTTCTGCTACCAAATTAACACCAAAGGATTTATAGTTTTTCAATAACATCCATTGTCAAAGTATATACATACATACGACAACACTATATAATATTGACAACGCAACGTTGTCATTATTGCAACAATTCGTTGTCGAAATCTAAATTTTATGCACATCTGTTGTCTAAGTGTTAACAAACGTGGTAAGCTCATTATTGGCAACGAAAGGTTTGTCAATAGTGAGCTTACCACGTTTGTTAACATTTAGACAACGGATGTGTGTAAAATTTAGATTTCAACAACGAATTGTTGCAATGTTGTCAACATTACATAGTGTTGTTGTACGTATGTATATACTTTGACAACGGATGGTATTGAAAAATTATAAACAGTTTGGTGTCTATTTATTACCAGGCGTGTATATTTCTTATTCCCTCTGTGTAGGCCACTAACGGGCCTGTTGTGCGCTCCAATTCATGAAAAAAAAAAATTGTTCACTGAATGTATTATTTTTCCATGTTCAGAAACTCTGTTTCCTGGACGTAATTCCTAAGAATCTTCCAATCAGTGTTGGTTAAGAATGTTATTTCCGGAATAACATTACTTCCAAGATACTTGGATTTAACTTCGACGAATGCCTGACAGTGGCAAAGAAAGTGCTCCAGAGTTTCACTGTCCTCTCCTTATGCTCTACATCGAGCTCCCTTCCCTTTAAAACTATTACATTCGCCCTTTCGTTGCCGACTACTCCCGAGTGTCCTGGTACCCATATGATGTAAACCTTACCTCTGGGAGAGTATTCAGTTATAGCTTTCTTACAATCCAATACGGTCTTAGATTTAATTCTATCACCTGATATCGCCCTAATTGCCTTCTGGCTGTCGGTAAATATATTAAGCCCTGTGGGCGCCATATTTATTCTAATCCAATTTACACATTGCGTTATTGCTCGTACTTCAGCCTGGAAGCTTGTGTTATGATTGGGTAAAAGGTGGTATATTTCTGTTTCTGGGTCTTCAATATAGAACCCCAGGCCCACTTTGTCCCCTAATTTAGAGCCATCCGTGTAGCAACGGATTCCTACTGGTATTTGCTCCAATGTTCCGCTTGACCAAGACATTCTATCTGAGATTAGCGTTTCAAAGTTTCCGACATATTCTGTGTCTGGTATGCGATCAGGCACGTCCGATGAATGTGTATAACCTTCCAATGTGTCCAGTATACATTGATGACGTGTCCTATAACCGTTTTTGGCCAGTTCGCCGAAGTAAAGGAGCCGTTCGGCTGTAGCGCGCCTCATATCTATAACTAACTATAACTAACTAACTAACAACGAACTAACTAAATAACGAACTAACTAAGAACTAACTAATAAACGAAAAACTAAATAACAACTAACTAAGAACTAAAATAGACTAACAAACGAACTAAAACTAACAGAACGAAGCGAAGATAACTAACTAAACTAACTAAGAAAAAAAACTAACTAAACGAAATAACAACAACGAACTAACGAACGAACGAACTAACTAAAAAACTAACAAAACTAACAATAAAAAACTAACTAATAAGAACTAACTAACTAACTAAAAACAACTAAAGAAACGAACGAACGAACGAACGAACGAACGAACGAACGAACGAACGAACGAACGAACGAAAACGAACGAACGAACGAACGAACGAACGAACGAACGAAACGAAGAACGAACGAACGAAAACGAACGAACGAACGAACGAACGAAGAACGAACGAACGAACAACGAACGAACGAACGAACGAAAAACGAACGAAAACGAACGAACGAACAACGAACGAACGAAAAACGAACGAGAACGAACGAACGAACGAACGAACGAACGAAACGAACGAACGAAAACGAACGAACGAACGAACGAACGAACGAACGAACGAACGAACGAACGAACTAACTAACGAACGAACGAAAGAAAAACGAACGAAACGAAAAACTAACTAACTAACGAACGAACGAACACGAACTAACTAACTAACTAACTAACGAACTAACTAACTAACTAACTAACTAACTACTAACTAACTAACTAACAACTAACTAACTAACTAACTAACTAACTAACAACTAAGTACTAACTAACTAACTAACTAACTAAGTAACTAACTAACTAATTAAGGACTCGTCGAGAAAGAATCTTAGGTGCTGTATTACTAGCCCCGAAAGATATATTCAACCTCTCAAACCCGTTACTTTCATATGCATATGAATTAAACCTGTTATGGTGAACCCACGGGCTGCACAAAAAACACAAAACATGGTCGCAATGCTTAGGGCCCTCTCTAATCTAATTGGAAGGAGTCTAGCAATGACTTACGAATAATATATTATGTTAGTACTCAATCTTTGGCAGTGGCTGTATCCTAGTAGGCGGTTTGTTTTTCTGAAAACAAAACTATTTACTTAACTCCCTATTAGCAGGTGATCGTAGTAAGTACTTACCTAACTCCCTCTATGTAAGCGAGTGTGGCAGGTACTTGCTTCCCGTGGTAAATTAATGATTTATAATGCTATTTTGTAAGAAATTTTAGCATTTCAACACTTTACTTTTCAATGTTAGTTTTGCTGGGTTACTTAGATCATTTATAAATGAAAAAATATTATCCTATTTGCATTATGTCTAGGAAATACAATCAGAAAATATCCTGGAAAAATGGGGTTTTGGTGGTTTTTACAAATATGTATCTTAATCATTGACGCATAAAATTTTTAATTTTATTTGTAAAAATTAAAAACAAGAACATTGAAATGTTAAATATAAATATTTTTACAAAATAACTAGCAACTTAATTAAATTATTTAATTACAAAAATCTTTAAACAACACTTTTTAAAGTGTATTACACAAAAGTAAACATTAATTACTGAAATGAAATCCTAGTGCTGGTGTCTTTTGTGTGAAAAAAAAGAAATCCATCAAATGGAAAATTTAAGAAAAAAAAAAATGAAAAAGTCACGTAATGTAAAAGGTGACATTGAAATTTATCTTTTCTTTTTTTAACAATTTTCTGTTTAATATCCATCACAACATCAACAACAATTACTATTACGCTGTATAAATATGGTA